ACGCGGGGCGGACGAAACCGCAGCCGAAACCGCAACCGAAGCCACATTGAGGGCAGGCAGACTCCGGCTGTTGAAACTTACACACCGATTGGAGACTCAGCGAGACCACTGGAGCCGTCGGGAGCTTCCGACAAAACAGCCTAAAGAATTGAATAAAGAACAGGAATGGCGACCTAAAGAATTGAATAAAGAATTAAAATATAAAAAACTAAATTTCAACAAATTCGTTTTTCTAGATTGCAAAAGAACGAAAAATTGCAAAACAAGGGAAATATGAAATTAATTTTTTGGTTGTTAAAACTGAAATATCATATAAAAAAATGCAAAATAAAAATTTGTTTCACAATTTCCTTGTCAAGTGCAACAAGCAAAGTTTATTGCATTAGAAAAGAAAAATATTACATAATTTATAAATTTTTTTCTTGTTTTAATATGTAAGAAATCAAATAAAAATCGATTTGATTTTTGAATTGCGCAATAACAAGATTTTTATTTCTAATAAAGTTGGGTCAAACCAATGGTTTGTATTGTAGCACTTTTCCCTTCAACAAGTGAAAATTCTGCTTTTAAAATACAGTCTATGTATATCTATCACACTATAAAAATTATTTTCATTCATACACGAAACTATTTCTCGGATTGCATATATTTAGGATGAACGATTTATGCAATCTTTGAAATAAAGCAAAAATTAATAAAAAGTGGGTGTAACATAATGCTCGATTTTAAGGGTTAATTGTGTGAGTTTAGAAAAATAAATATATTTTTTAATGTCATGGAATTTACCGTTAGCTTTTTGCGTTTATAGAAATTTGAAAAAGCTTCCGGTTTTGGAAATATAAGGCGTTAAAAATTCAAATTTTACAAATTTCAAGAGGCGTTAACTTGGGATGGGGTGGAGATGGAAAAAAAATTTCTTCTAAAGAAATGAAGCATTTATTAGTGTCTAAAAAGCCCTAAATTTCAGGCTTCTAGAGGCTGGGCTCTAGAAAATAAACGACATCAAAAATTTGGAAAAGTAGGACTTTAGATAACGGTAAATTTGAGCGGCCATTTTGTTTTTGTAAAGTTAACCGTTAGTATACCCCGCTAGGGGAAGCAACCCACTGCCTTTCTGCGTTTGCAAAATTTGAAAAATGCTTATGGTTTCATTGCACTAAATAGTTAAAAAATGGAATTTTTAGGGTTTCCGGGGGGGGGGGGGGGCATAACTTCTAAAGGGGGGGAGATAGATAAAAATTTTGTTCTGCAAAAATAAGTTTCTAGTAAAAATCTATGTACATACAAAATTTCAGCTTTCTATCTTCAAAGGTGTAGAAGTTTTGTAAACAGACACACGGATAGACGGATGGACGGACGGAGGGACGGATGGACGGACGGACGGACAGAGTGAAACTAATAAGAACTTTTTTTCAAAAAATTTTTGAAAAAGTGCTAAAAATTTAGCTTACGTTTTGGTCTCATTAAAAGAAGTTTTTAAAGATAATTAAATCGAATAAAAAAACTAAAGGTTTTTTATTTGGTTCCTTTTCTATATAATAAAGAATAATAAATTAAGTTTAAGTTAAAAATTAATAAATTAACAAAATTTACACACTGTTATTGAAAAAAGTAAAGTTCTATGTTATGTACCTTGGTCCACGATAATTAAAAATGTGAAAGTTAATAGCAAAACGTACAATCTGACAAAAATATGCCAAAACAATTTTTTAATTTTATGATACTAGTTAATGAAACGGAGTGAAAAGAACGAAAAGATAATTATTTAAATAATTGAATCATGTGGAATAAAGTAAAAGAGATATCTGGTCATCAAGAATTTGTATTCAGAGTACAATTTCAATATATTTTTGCTAAAGAGTAAATTTGCAAATTACAAATAAATCAAGCAGAAAGCCGAAAGAGGTAAATGATTTTGAATCAAAACTGATATTTAAATCCTCTTTACCAGTTAATGAGCTGAAATGAGAAGACCTTTGTAGTGTTTGTGAGGCGGACTATATTTTCAAAATATTATCATAAAGTTTACCTTGATTCTCGTCAAACGGTAAACGAGATTTTTTCTTCGAAAAAATAACAAGAAGAATTTGTTCGCTGACAAAGAATAGTTTCATGTATTTGTTTCTTAAAGTTTCTTTATAAATAATATTTTTATTATTTATTAAAGAGAACTTATATTTTTTGTGCTTCAATTTGTTTTTTTCGGCAAAAACAATTAACTTGACAAAATACGTACAAATCAATAGCTTAAAATTTAATTAAAAAACGCTATGCTAAATACTGAAACCGCTTCACAGACCCATTTTGGAACTTTCAAAATTAAATAACTTAGAAATGATTCACCAAGCTGTTATGTCATAGGTTTAACACTGCTATGAAACTAATAGGCAGGTATAAAAGGTGAAAATGATGTGGAGATATTTTAGAAAAACAATTTTTTTTTGTCGTCTAACAGACGCATATCAGTAGTTACGCGTTAAAATATTGTGATATTTTGATGTATTCATACGATACTTTAATTATAATAGTTATTAACGGCCGTATAGTGTATACAATAGGTATTTACTTGAACTTTCGTATATAAGCTTCGCTCGGCCGTCCGTGAAACCTCTTAATTTTTGAAAGAAATCAGGCGTCAGCAACTGGACGTTTACTACAGGCCAAATATACATTTTTGGTGTATAAAGAGAAATAATTAACCGATTTCATTCAAATTTAATATTTAAATTATTCATACTAAAACAATGAACATATAAATTTTTTGGAAAGATCAAGGCTCGAAAACTCATCTGCAGGCTGATTTTATATTTTCCACTATATCTGCGGAACGAATTGATGGAATTTCTTGAAACTTCATATTTGAGTTCTGATTATTACCGAAACTAACTTGCGAGCATTTCAGAGAATTCGGCTAGCACAAAGCGAAACTCTACTAAGAGCCAAATTTACATATTTCTCGGTATGTTAACTATAAACTTACTAATGCCCTAAAAATTGAAAAGAAGTATTTAACAGTCATTTTTATAAAATTCTGTAACACTTTCTCTTAACCAGACAATACACATTGTGGTCAGTTATGTGCTGACCATATCAGATTTTTTTCTTTAGAAGTATTTATTGCGTTTTTTAGCGCTATATAGAAAGTAGTGTATATATACTGGGAAAAATTTCTATTTTACTTGAAAAATGAAACATGCAGAACTAAAATTTATTTAAAATTTACTTCTAATTTTTTTCTTAAATTTTGAAGACATTAACAAGTATTCGATGGAATCATGTAAATATGTATTGCGATCAACCTCTGGCTAACCCAAATTTAAACATCTAGAGCAATTACAAAGTAAGTTACTAGTAAGTTAACAAGTTATAAGTATTTAGGCATCCATCATTTTTTCGTTGACTCAGACTTTTTCGTTAAATAAGACTAACAAAGTTTTCTTCTAAATAAATCATTACTAAATTAATAATAATTAAACAACGTGTAGTTGTTTAATTAATAAGTATTGTGCCTATCACACTTATAATATTATCTCCATGGAAATTTCTTCAAACAACTGCCAAACGGGTGGATGACGTAATCAAAGGTAGAAAAATTAAAATTTTTTTTTTCGAACTGGACTCGAATCAGTGAATTGTTCTTTACTTTGCCTTATACTATAATCCACATGAATACGAAGTATTCTTTACATTGAGATACTGCATGCAATCTTCCATTTGAAACACACAATCACAAGAATATACATAAATAAGTATTGCGTCCTTAACACTAATAACATTACTAAAAAATCTGATATGGTCAGCACATAACTGATCGCAATGTGTATTGTCTCGTTAAGTGAAAATGTTACAGAATATTATAAAAATATCTGTTAAATACTTCTTTCCAATTTTTAAGACATTAGTAAGCTTATAGTTAACAGACCTAGATATAAATTTGGCTCTTAATACAGTTTTGTTTTGTGCTACCCGAATTCCCTGAAATTCTCGGAAATTAGTTTGGGTGACAATCAGAACTCAAATATCAAATTTTAAGAAATTCCATCAATTCGTTCCGTAGATATGGTGAAAAATGTAAAATCGGCCCGCAAATCAGTTTTCGAGGCCTGATCGTTCCAAAAAATTTATATTTTCATTGTTTTAATACAAAGAATTTAGATATTAAATATCAATGAAATCGGTTGATTATTTTTCTTTATATACGCAAAAATGTATATTTGACCCGTAGCAAACGACTAGTTGCTGGCACTTGATTTCTTTCAAAAGTTGGAAGGTTTCGTGGACGGTCGAGCTTAGCTTATATATGAAATTTCAAGCAAATTGGTTGAGTATTTTCTTCAAAATGGTCAAAAATATAAAACAGGCCCGCTAAAAAGTGCAGTTCCCGAGGCCTGATATATCCCAAAAGTTGATCAATCCGTGCCATGGTCGAAATAAACTTACATAATTTTAGAACTTAGAAATTTTATATTATAAAATTTCATCAAAATCGGTTCAGCCGAACTTGAGATACACGCGTCCACACGCAGACCGACAGACCGACAGACTGACAGACCGACAGACCAACGGACCGACAGGTTGCTAAAAATAGTTTACTTACACTTATCTACTAGGGAGAGGTGCATTCCTACTGAAAACTTGATATGCAAAAGTTGTTGCCACCACATAACCTACCTATTGTATACACAATACGGTCGGTAATTACTAATACAATGTGTAGTTCTTTAATTAATATGTATTGTGCCTAATACACTAATAATATTAACTCATACAACCGCATAACGGATTAAATTTCACCAGGCTGTTCAGATGTATTCAAATAATTAGACCGCTTCTTATGAAAAATCGTTCAAAAATGCATTTTAATTATAAAAAGTTTACATACAGATTTTTTGAGATTTGTTTTTAATTTTCACTCTTTTTTTCTATTTTATTTTCTGAAAGTGGAAAATATGAGTTTTAAATAATTTGTGTAAATTATTTTTGCCATTTAAAAAACAGATCTAAATATAATCGGTTTGAAGAACTGAAACAACTTCTATAGTATTAAAACATTTTGTTTTATATATAATACACACTTGCACAAAGAAGTTGTAAAGTGATGCAGCACTTCCATCAGTTTGAATTGATTTATCTCTCTGTCTATCAATTTGTTTCATTTTTTCGCAAAGTTCAACCTTTTCTTCATTTGAAAATAAGTTGGGAACTTCACCAGAATTTAGTAGATTGTTAATGTCCTCCAAAAACGATTCCAATTTAGCCTAAAATAAAAACATGATCTTATTATTATTTTTATCTTTTTGATGTTTTGTCTATATTTTATAGGCAGTTAAAATGTTCTAATAGGACTTAACAATAAAATACAAATTATGTTTACGCGAATGCTATATATATACAATTATAGTACTTTCTCGAGGTTAAAACATTACAAAATTTAAAATAGTACATTTTTTGCATACTATGGTATGCAAAGAAAATATTATCTTAAGGCTTATCAGTATTGTTAAAATGTTTTATTTAGGTTCCTGCATCGAATTTTGCTATAAATCTTGCATGCACAAATATTTAACAACTTGCTCATAATATTTCATGTATTTCAAATTCGTTTTCGTTTTAGACTTATTATGTCATTTCCAAGGTAATAACAAAGCTTGTTTCTTTTGAAAAAAAAAGTTATGTTTTCCAAAAAACAAGTCTACCTAATTCTGAAACCGCGTGGTTATGTTTGAAATAATTTAGTGTAATAATAAATAAAGTTGGGTCAAACCAATGGTTTGTATTGAGCACTTTTCCCTTCAACAAGTGAAAATACTGCTAGTACAGTCTATGTATACCTACCACACAATTAAAATTATTTTCATTCATAAACGAAACTATTTCTAGGATTGCATATATTTAAGATGATTTATATAGATGATATATTTAAGAAGATTTGAATTAAAGCAAAAATTAATTTAAAGACGTAAAAACTTAATTTAAAGTAAATTTATAAATTAATAAATTATTAATTTAAAAATTTACTTTAAGTAAATTGCGTGAGTTAAGAAAAATAATTATATTTTTTAATGTCATAGATTTCACCGTTAGCTTTTTGTGTTTATAAAAATTTGAAAAAGCTTATGGTTTCGGATATGTATAGGGCGTCTAAACTTCAACTTTTAAAAATTTCAAGAGATGATACATTGAGAGAGGGTGGGAATTGAAAAAAATTTTCTAGTAACGAAATGAGCTACTTGTTAGCGTCTAAAAGCTACTAAAATTTCAGGCTCTCACAACCTGATGTCTAGATGAAAAGGATCAAAAATTAAAAAAAACTGATTTTAGATAACGTCAAATTTGAACAGCCATTTTGTCTTTTTAACGTTTAATTATAGTATACCGCGATAGGAGAAGCAAGCCACTGCCTTTCTGCGTTTGCAAAACTTGAAAAAGACTTATGGTTTTACTGCAATAAATAGTTAAAAAATGGAATTTTTAGGGTTTTGGGGGGCTATAACTTCTAGAGGGGGAGAGATAGGTAGAAATTTTCCTCAACGGCAATAGATTTTTGGTAAAGATCTATGCACATATTAAATTTCAGCTTTTGTTATTAAAGAAGTTTTGTAAACATGCCAATTGACGGACGGACGGAGGGACGGACAGACGGACGGGGTATGTTAACTATAAGCTTACTAATGTTCTAAAATTGGAAAGAAGTATTTAACAGACATTTTTATAATATTCTGTAACATTTTCACTTAACTAGACAATACACATTGCTAGCAGGGAGTGCACTCTGCTGTCATATGATTAACGGGACATTTTACACATCTAGCCTCTCTTTGGAAAGTCTTTTGTATGTGTCCAAATGTCTGCCATCTCTTGCATTGCGGAATGGATTTGCTGCTTCTAAAGGTTTCAATTTTTTCTCTCATATGCTGTAAGTATTCTATTTTATAGATCTTGGTTATTTCTTCCGAATCGTCAAAATATAACATAAAGAGCGAAAGTTTTACTGAAATATATTTTCCATGTTCTTTTTTCCTTTTGGTTTTATTTACAACATTTAGACATTTAAAGCTTTTGTTAATGAGCTCTTTTTTATATCCTCTGGCTCACACGATGGGTGGAGATTTCTAGCCATAACTTTAACTGCCCTTGTTAGTTTATTCTCATACGTGTGCCACTCCAGTTTAGCCTTATTTATAGCTTTGTTTGTAATCTGTATTCATTTTCATTTTCCACATTTATTTTTGATTGGTCATTATTTATCATATTGACCCTAACGTTTATTCTTTCTTAGTATCTTAACTATGTGGGAGTAGTTTTTAATATTGCTCAATGTAACCGGAGGAGGCTTGTGCTTTTTTGGATTTTCAGCCTTAATTTTAGAGACTTTTCCATTTTTTTCTTCTTTGCATTATTCTGTTTTAGGATCCAGTCAGTTTTTCTAGCCCGTTCTTCATTCTACATTCTCTGCCTGTAATTTTTAGCACTTTACAAAGACTCTCTAACTCAGTTATTCTCGAGTCCTGAGTATCCAATTTACTCTCCTGTATAAGATGTCTTCTCACATTACCCTCTTGGGTTTTCATTTTTTTTTGTTTTGTTTTACCAAGCGGATTGGGTTACGAAATATCCGCAGTAAGGTATGCTTGTGATAAGAGTCCACTAAAATGCAAATCGAAGTCCAGACGCGCCGGACTCACAATGAGCGGCAGAAATTATATGTGCTGCTTTGCACGAGGGGATTATTCTCAAAGACTAAGAGAAGAAAACTCCGAAATAAGACAAAAAAAATGCAATGAACAAAAAACAAGGATTGAATAAACCAGGTGGCAATCCAGTAATGCTTGAAAATCCACGCTCTTCGGAGGCTGCTCTTATGGATTCTGGAGGAGATCACTTATTGCATAGTAGATTATTGATGATTGCAGAGCAAAATGGCAGAGTTAAGGAAACGGAAATATGGGGTGTCAAAAATTCAAATTTTAAGAGGCTCTAGTTTGACAGGGGGTAGAGTATTTCTATTTTCAAAGGTGAAAAAGTTTTGTAAACATGTACACTGACGGACAGAGTGAAACCAATAAGTACTTTTCTCCAAAGAATATTTTAAAAAGTGCTAAAAATGAAAATTCAGGCAAAATTATGTATTCATACCAGAATTTAATTGGAGCACTAACTTTCAACACGATTCGACTTGTCATTTGCGGTAGGGTCATTAAGTCAATTTAATAATAATTATTTCCAAATACACTGGTCTGCAGCAAAATGAGTATTACACTATTTCCAAAGTACTATTGATTATGGTTTAATTTTCAAGAACAATGATTAAGTTAACTGGTTACGCTGATTCTGATTGCGGAGCATCTGTCGATATACCGAAAGTACTATACAGGTTACATTTTTACAATGTTTGGTTCATGTGCTAGTTGGGATTATGGAAGCAAAGAATGGTAGCATTTTCAAGTGCGGAAGTGGAATATATGGCACTTAGTGAAGCTACAAAGGAAGCATTGTTTTTAAAGAAATTACTTTGTGAATTAGCATAAACAAAAATGAAATTAAAAAGTTTTAATGATAACCAGGGAGTACAAAAATTAGCTAGAATCCTGTATTTCACAACAGAGCAAAACATATCAATGTGAGACATAATTATAAACCCCAGGCAGTGGAAGCTGAAGAAATAGAATTGCTGTATTATGCCAACAGAAACTATGCCAACAGATTTTTTGACAAAAGCTGTTTATAGATCAAAACATGAAAATTGTAGATCCGCTTTCGGCATAGTAAAAACACGTTGAGATTCAACATTATAAATACACAATAACAAAATTTACTTTTAGGGCTGGAGTTGGTTATAGCGAAGTAATTTTTATTATACCAATCTAATAAATACAATAATTAATATTAAAGATATATACGTACATATTTTTATGCTTAATGTAATGTGATTCTCATTTAATATAATTGAGTAATTTCGAAAATACTGAGTTAATCTTTGAGTTAAATAATTGTAATGTAAGTTAACATACTAAAATTTTTTTTTCTTTCCACTCTTATGTAGAAAGTATGAGAATATAATTTGAAACCACATTATTATAATAAAACAACGAAATAAATTTGAATTTATATTTAACAATGTATAATATTTCTTCATTTTTAATACAAAACCAACAATAAGTAAATTCAAACGTAAATTTATTTTTTAACATGTTCAGTCTTAATGTATTACCGGTGATCATAAGAAAAGGTATATTCGTTAAATCATTGCTGAACAAACGAATACCTAAGTAACGCAGAGTTAAATTTGATTTCTATAAAAAAAACATCTGAAAATTTTATACATGCAGCTCCCTTACTTATACATATGCTTAGTTTTTCTAAATTGTAGGATTACACCTATATTAAGGACTTAATGCATAGGTGAGGACGGACTTTACGAAACCTTTAAGATTTGGTTACACGATGGAACTCAATGTAAGTAATTTTTATATTTCTTATAGTCATGAAGCTCAATATGTTAATTTTCTTTTATCGTTTTCAAAAATTTCTGAAATTAGTGCGATTCACGCTAGGGGCTTCTAGTCTTATTTTGGTAAGGTTGCAGGTGTATTTATGGATTAAAGAAAAACGTTTGATACTATCGATTATGATATCCTTATAACTAAACTAAGTTGGTTTGCTAGATTGATTACATGAATGAATAGATATTTGCAAAATCAAAAACATTTTGTATCTTAATAAAATGGAAAGTTCTATTAGAAATGTTGAAATTGGTATAATGCAGGGGTTGATATTAGGAACTCTTTTTTTTCAATACTTATTAATGACATTCATAGCTCACCATTATTAGGTAACTTATTTCTGTTCGCTAACGACTGTGGTATACTTTTTCCTGATAATGATTTCAAGCAAGTGGAATCTCAAATTCAACATTAATTATTTATTTTATCATAATATTTTAGAATAAATAAAATAGAAATTAATGCTTCAAAAACTATAATCTTCACTTTTAGAACTCGTCGAAAAAATTTTGGTAATATTTGCATTAATCTTTAAAATAACATATTGCAGGAAGTAGATGAGGTCTGAGCATAACATTTCCAAAAATTTGTATTAGCTTGCGTACGTGGAAAGAATTAAGTGATTTTATTCGAATTATATACATGCATAAGAATAAAATACCTATATGTGTTTAAATTAAAATGTGTTGCGCTTTACTTCATTCGAATTTGTCTTATAGTGCTGTACCAGTGGTACAGCTGTGGGAATATCCTAA